CAACAGTCTGTTTCAGCTAAATCCTCTATTCTCCTCCTTCTTCTCCTCGTGTTTCTCTTCCCTGGGATGGCGCTGCACGGTGGGATCCATTTTGGGCTTTCTTGGCTCTGGAGAGGTTGTTTTGGCTTGGAGTCCCATGCACTGTGTGCCTCTCAGGGCTTCAGTTTGGTTAAATTAAACAGTTTTCTTTTCTCCTCTAACCCCTTCCACCCACCCCCTCCAACTGCTCCTCTCTTATTTTGCTTAATGCTTCTCAGCTCCCGGGCGATCTTGCCGATGCTGCTTTTCCAGGCCTTCTCCTTCTCAGATAATTTTACCCTTTTAAGGCTCATGTTTTCTCATATTTCGATGGACTGACAAGAGCCAGCAGCATGTCTGCAACCCCCCACTCCTTTAAGCTGAGGTGGAGCAAAATATACAGAGAGAAGTCAAGTGTTTACAGCGGCTATAAATACAACGTTTTAAGATATAGCATATGTATACAGGCAGGGAGCGATATGACGGTTAGAGTGGATAATTTGATTGGCCGAGGCTATTTGACGGTGCCAAATCGATGTGATCAGATTTTGGGGATAGCGAGGCGATGACGGCAAACGGGGCACTCTGAAACCACAGGTTTACAAGGTTGGAAAAGATCCGGGCAGCAGGGGAAAGGTTTCAGCCTCTTCTCTCCCCATCTACTCTTCTCTCTCCTCCTCTTTGTCACAGTAGTAGAGGTAATATATATCCTGATGCTGATTTGGCATTATATTTCATCAGCACACAGATAATTTTGGACAGTATTGTGTGTGTGCTTGTCCACACTTAAAGGCACGTGACCAAAGGAGGGGGTACTGTTAATGGATGCTAAAGTGGAGGCGCCTCAGGGCTGACAAGCTCGATTAACGTAGCCTTAAAATGCATGTAGAATCAGGGGAAGCCCAGTGCTGTGGACGTGTGTACAAGGTCATGTACTTGGAGCGCTGTAGCCTGTGTGTGTGTGTGTGTGTGTGTGTGTGTGTGTGTGTGTGTGTGTGAGCTCCTGAGCCAAGCTGTGGGGAGTAGTGAGCTTCAGGGGGGAAATTGGGTGGCTGCCTTCCATTTTGGCCCATGTTTGCAACACCCTCTATGCCCCATGTGTCACCCCATGAATCTTCATCACCTGCCACTTTAATCTGCATTACATTATATTTTAGTGTTTTAAGGCATGTGGTTGATGCTTAAGCAGACATGTGTGATGAGTGCGGCAGCAGAACAAACTTTTTTTTCTTTTTATCCTTAACAAACACACACACATAAAAATCCAGCATGTTGATGTGAGTTTGTAGTAAATAAAAATGATCCATCACCAGAACAAGTTTACTGCCTAAAAAGCCACAGTAGAACTTACATGTTGACATCTTATACATATAGACTCATATTGAATTTGAATTTTTTGTGACTTTTGCTGTAAAATAACCCTACATTTAAAAGACTGATCAGGCTACAGTAAAAAAGTATTCTTGTGATGTGGAGTCTTTAAAAAAGGCTTTCATAAGAAAGTAAGTTTATGTTCACTTTCTAATAAAATCTAGTCTAATAAGTCAATGAGTCTGGTGAAAAAAAAAGTCAACATTTTTTAAAAAGAAGGATTTTTTGTTTTATAAATATTTGTTACATCTTATTTTCACCTTTAAACCATTCACAGTACACAGAAAATTTACATATTTTTCCAGCCAAGACACGAACACACTGATGGTGGATTTCTCACTTTTAGATGCCCCGTAATTATTGTTACAGCATTTTACTTGCAGCTATACTGGCGCTGAGGAGAAACTAAGAAAAGAGACAGGCAGGATTTTAATGCTTAAAGAGAGTTGGTGAAGAGAGAAGATGGGGGAAATCATCGATGTTCTTCCTTTCACCTCAACTGGTTAGTGTCCATGCATTGAACAGGGCTCACAACATGTACTACGCTTCTACCAACTGCAACAACAACAAAAAACAACGCAGATGCCCAGACAGACTATCCCCATGGGTACATTTACATTGGCAACAACAGCCCCTGTTGCCCCTCTCCATCCCCTCAGGTGCTCTTACAGTTCCCTCTGGAGGAAGGGGGTAGTTTTTTGGGGGGGAGGGCTAGAATGCCCCCGGCTGTGCCCCCATCTACCCCAACCCCCCCCCAAGCCCTCTGCGGAGCCTCTTTATGTCCCCCCCCAGCTCCCCCCGTGGGGCAGGTGACAGCCCTCCACTGTGAAGGGCCGAGGGAGCCATGACGGATTCCACAGATGGAGCGTGGAAATCGCCGGCAAAGACCTCAGCTCTGTGGAGCAACAAAGAGCCCGAGAGTCACAGAGAGAAATATGGGTGGAAAGAGAGAGTAGGGGGACAAAGACAGGCTGCGAGAGAGGGTGAAAAGGAGGGAGAGCGAGATCGAGAGAAGAGGGAGGAGAAGGTGGTGCTTGTTTAAGGAGGGTGGCGTGCAGAAGTGCAAAAAGTGTGTTTGTTGGGGCGAATGAGGAGTTTGCTATTGTTTGGAGTGAAAAATGTGCAAGTCTGATGTTTTCTTCTACATTTTATACATGCTGGTTTCCATTCCTATCACCTAGTGTTCTACCTGTCAGCTGTGTGATGTTCAGTGCAATGCATTTACTCTCTTGGTATAATGTGGCACTGACCCAGATTCCCCAGCAGACATCGTTATCATTTCTTCCCATCGCCTTATCTTGTTGTATCTTAACATCAAGTGATGCAGCAATCAGACGAAGTGAAGTGAAACAAATGAGCCCGTTTGAGCTCTCTGTAAAGGATCTGATTCATGATTGTATCACGACTAGACTCCCGAGACTTCAGAGGTGCCACTCTGTCGCTTCTTTTGAAAAGTTCTCGAAACCCCGGTAGCAGTCATAACCGATAGGTAATTCCAAAGTGATTAAGGATTTTCCCGGCCGCCTCAGCTTTCCCAGGGCCCAAATCCCTGTGAAATGCTGAGGAACGTGCATGCTGCTAAAGTCGGGGGGGAAGCGAAAAAGCATTCCTAGCAGCCCTCCTCTATGCAGGAACTGGAGGGGGAGGCTACAAAAGGCCTCATCTCTTGTTTTTCAGCCATCCTGTCCAAAACTCCAGAGCCCCACACTCCACACCCCAAATTCCTTCCCCACTAGCTAAAACACAAGTCCTGTAACCCCACTAGTCATGGCCTGCAAAGTCCTAAAAGTTTCTGTCACCGTGTTGAAAATCATAGTGTGTAAAAAGTTGCGAAACAGTTGACTGAGTTGATGTTTGTAACCTCAGTGGCCATTTTGATTTTTTTTCTTCTTTTCTGTTCATCCATTTGAGAACATGTCCACCATTTTAGTGTTATGGTCAGTCGTTTATGTTAAAATGCTAAACTCACATGCAGGTTGATAAGGAGCGAGCGTTCTATGAGTGCAAAATTGCAATATATTCAGCAGAGGCTTAAGGCAATGTCTCCATTTCGCTCGCTCCCCCTTTGAAAATATTTTACTTATTGCCTCCCTCATGCTTGAATGTTTCTTTACCAATTTGCTCCTAATGCATGTTAAGTTGACTCCCACTGCTATTGGTGTTGCACGGAGAAAATCGCCGAAGGGGGAGAGAGGATCAGTTTCACATGAGGGGCCCTGAGCTATTTGGATTCTCTTGTATTTTATTGTTGCTTCTGAGGGGGAACTAATACAGTGTTGCACACAAAACTTCCCCTATGCTGAGGGGGAATTAATTAAGTGTAACACAAAAAGTGGGCGCTCTGGCCTTGGTGAACTTAGAACGGAGCCAATGGAGTGTTTGAAGTAGTGAGTTAAAATCCAAGCTGCTGGCTTATAGAACATAGCTCACAATAGTATTAAAACTGATCTGAGACAGAGATGAAAAGCAGAAACACAAAAGCTGTCAGGACTAATAATAACACTGCAGCTCAGTCAGGCTGAAGATCACACTGTCAAAAATATATAAGTTTTTCAAATTTAGCATTGTGATTCCATTAGTCATTTATTGAGCAAAAAGGCCAAATATTCTGTGTTTACAATTTTTTAAATGTGAGGATTTGTGTTTTTTTCTTTGTTTGCTATAATTGTAAATGTAAAACTTTGGCGTTTATACTGTTGATCAGAAAAACTCCTGGATTTTATGGGCATATTGGTGATTTTGAATGACTTGACTTTTTCAATCACTGTATTATATTTTTGATTCTCTGTGACTCTGAACTTGACGTATATATATATATATATATATATATATATATATATATATATATAAATATATATTAAGACTTGATACTGACTCACTATGATATCACAGTGAGTGCTAGAGAAATTGTATAGACCGTAAACTCATATGTGTGACGAGACAGAGAGAGTGGATAAGTAGTTTATCCTTCTTTCAGGAAACTGCTCTTGGCAATCCAGGCTACTGTCCACACACACACACACACACACACACACACACACACACACACACACACACACACACAAACACACACAGACGCGCGCTTAAAGAATGGCCCCTGGATCCAAATTAGCCTTTTGTGTGGCTTTTAGTCCACCAGTCCCCCTGTGGTGCCCTGGGAATCTTGTCCATTGGGATTATTCCTCAGGCTCAGAATATTCCTTCTGAATGGAGGTCTGTTTGGCCACAAGACTATGAGGAAGAATGATGCCTGATGGTGCATGTCTGTGTGGGAGTGTGTAAAGAAAAGAAAATACCCACTAAAGTAAATGATTGAAAACAGAGAGCAAATCAATTGATATTTTATGATTCTGCTGAACAGCCACCATAACAAAAAATACACTTAAAGCACCACCAGCATCAGCATGTTTGCTCTTCAGCAGGGTTTCAAAGGTCAGGTGGTCGCTTCAGGTTTTATAAAGCTCTGCTGAGGCTAAGTTAAGAGTGTGTGTATGTGGGTTATCAGGAAAAAACCTTTCATTAGCGGACAACATCAACTTCTGATATTTGATACTGGGAGAAAATCTCATCCTGACCGATTTCCTATTTTTCTGTCTCCTGCATTTGAACAGCGAGTCAGTCAGACGAGGGTTCGGACGTAGAGTCAGAGCCTGATCTGCCGCTTAAGAGGAAGCAGCGGCGCAGTCGGACCACCTTCACGGCAGAGCAGCTGGAGGAGCTGGAGAGGGCCTTCGAGAGGACCCACTACCCCGACATCTACACCAGGGAGGAGCTTGCCCAGAGGGCCAAACTCACCGAGGCCAGGGTTCAGGTATGAGAAAACTTAACTTAAAACATAAAAATGTTTACAAGATAGCAGCAACACTCTGCTCACACACTGACTTCTATCTGACCTAACACACCAGCATGCAACTTGATGACCTATGAACATCCCTGTCTCACACACACACACACACACACACCCACATAAACCCTATGGCTTTATACACTCTTTGACCATTTAAAGGCAACCTGCTAAGCTCTGTTTGCTTCATACAACAACACACTCACTCACACACACACACACATACACACACACACACACACACACACACACACACACACACACACACACACACACACACACACACACACACACATATACACTTCTCATCCACACTCCCAGGGGCCCAATGTGGACTTACCTATTTCTGATCTGGAGTCCAGTAAATTCTCCTCCACAGGCTCCATATGGGAAGTGTAAGCAGGCCCAGCATGAGTCCTGTCCATATGGACACGGCATGTCACTCACACACAGCCATGATACACATCTTACCCCCACACACGTACACACTCAACATTTCTTCTCACTCTGTCTCTCACCTTCTTTTTGAGCTTCACACTAATAGAACTGTTAGACACTTTATTATTTTGTGTACAGTATATGTAAATATGTGTTAACTGTGCAAACAAATATAGCTACAGCTTTTTTAACTGTGATTTTTTAAATCTTTAAAATGTCTGCTAATACATACATGGATGGCAGCATTAAAAACTGTAGTCTGATAAACAAACAACACACACACTGATCAAATGTTGTATCTCCATGCACAGCGGCTGAGTCCTTACTGCAGCGGCCTGGGTTCGACTCCAACCTGCGGCCCTTTGCCGCATGTCACCCCCTCTCTCTCTTTCACTCCTTTCCTCACTCTTCTCATGTAAAGGCATTACAAGAAATAGAATAATAAAAAAAAACCCCAATCATTGTCCTCCTCCATAGGTTTGGTTCAGCAACAGGCGGGCGAGGTGGAGGAAGCAAGCAGGAGCCAATCAACTGATGGCATTTAATCACCTGATCCCAGGGGGTTTCCCACCTTCAGCCATGTCAAGCATCCCCCCTTACCAGCTCTCTGACAGCGCCTACCCCCCCTCATCTATAGCACAAGGTAGGAGACAATACAGACTATGGAAATGAATGCAGTGGTTGACGGTTCACATCTGGAGAAATATAACGTACTGCAGCAAATAAGTTCAGAATAGTTCTATAGTATTCATGCTATGAGCATGAGGTTTGTTGTTGTCAAATAATAAACTTTTTTTTAGAAAATGAAAAGAAGTTTTGTTCTTATATTGATGGCATTGCATTTTTCATTTGGTTTGAATCCAAAACCCATTTGTGGTAGAAATATCTCACCACAGAGAGACATGTAATCATTCTGCAATTATTACAAAACGTTCAACTGTCTGATAGTGTCTTTATCTTGAGGCTCTTCTCAGTGTCAGTGAAATTACTATCCTAAGTGTTATTCTTTTTTAAATCATTAATATTCTATTAAACAAAGTATATTTTGACAGAGGTATTGGTCTTTATTGCATAACCAGAGAGTCTGTTAGTTTTGGATTGTTTGCTAAATTAAAATTACCTATAATACTGTAGGAGAAAGACTTGATGAAATGACTTTGTATTAAAAAAACTAAAATGTCTTTATACAGTTTGAACAGACATGTTTTCAAATATAAGTTTATATTGAGTCAGTACAGCAGTTTTACCTCTGCTTAAGGGATAAGTTAACACAGTAACAAAAAGGTCATTGATCCCACCACCAACCACTTAGCAGTTACATTTTGCAGTTTTTAACTGACAATCCTTAACTTTGTCTGTGATGCCTTTGGTAGTGTCGGAGCCCCCCAGCACGGTGCATCGCCCCCAGCCTCTCCCTCCCTCCTCGGGCCACCAAGCCCCCGGCGGTGGAGGGCAGGGAGAAGGAGGATCCGCCTACTGCCTCGCCTCAGGACGCCACTCCTTCTCAGGCTACTCGGACAGCTTTGTGAGCCCCGGAGGACCGGCCAATCCCATGAACCCCGCCATAGGAAACGGACTCTCTCCACAGGTGAGACTAAAATATGTGTATTTGAGCTTCTCAAAGCCAGACACACAGCTCAGTCAGTAAAGCAGCAGACTGCACTGCTGAAAGAAATGTAATTTAGTCTCAAATTTAATAGATGAAAACTTTTTTCCTAAAATAAATTAGTGAGAAAACTCCACAATAACAGTTTTAGCCTTGAAAAGGAAATCCATGGAGACAACTTTTATAGTTGAAAACGGATACTGCATTAATTTGTTTTAAGAAATACAAAACGGTAAAACAGTTAGAAGATTTAAGTTTGTTTTTTTGCAGTGTATTTATTTGACAGAAATAAGACTTGTGTGTTTGACACTGTACACACCTCTAGAGACTCAGATAGTTTGACTTGCATGAATAAGACCAATAACATGCCACACCAGAGCCGCTGGGCAGAATTAGATTTGAACATGATTTCAAAGAGTTGAACCCGGCTGAGATACGCATGATTTACACAGCTTCACACAATACATCAATACTCTCTTCAAGTAATATTTCAGCCAAGTGTGGAACACATAAATGCATGCGCTCACTGATTCATCCACTTGTCTACTAACTGTACGTTCTACACACACACACACACACACACACACACACACACACACACACACACACACACACACACACACACACACACACATACTCCTCTGCAGTGCTGGAGGATGGGTCACTCACTCTTGGAGAAGAAAAGTAAGATGACTCTAGAAGGACAGAGGACAACTGAGTGTGTGACAAATGAGAAGTGAAAAGACAATTACAGTCAATTATCCAGGCATGAAGGCCCAAGGTCTCTGCACCTAGACAGAGGGTACAACAGAGGAGACAGAGGAGCTGGAGACCCTAACAGGCAGAAAATGAGATTTCAGCCTGACGCAGTCTGACTCCTCAGAGAACAGCAGTGTGAAGTCAGAGACACACTCGCACCAATGCACACAGGCTCACAGGTCCACATAATTACAGGGACACACACGTGCACACGGTGTAGATAATTGATCAACTCCATGACATTTTAGAGGATCAGTTGAGGATTTTGCAACATCTTTTACACAAATATTACACGACATGCTTGAGCAGCATGGCTAAGTCAACTTCTCAACCTTCTGTTTAGATGGGACGATTGATAACTGCATTTTTTTATTATTTCAAATACAGCAGCAATACAGGGAACGCAGCAATGTTTGCAAGTGTTTGGGGCAGTAAGTGTGTGTTGCGAGAAAATCCTATCTGCAGAGTTCGTCCTTATGCTTTTACTTTTGTGAACTGAATAACCATCATACATGCTTTCAGACATGCAGACATACGCTGCTGCATGCATTAAACATGAACAAACTGAATATCCTTTACAAACAATATTGTGCATGGAGGCAGCTAGACACAGCATCCTCGTGGTCATGTATGTGTGCACAAACACTGCTACACACTCTACACTGCTATACTATAGCCTCAAGGGAAGCTTCTCGTGATTGCATTCTTAAAATGTTTGCCTTGACATTCCCCCATGTGAAAGCAAAGGTTCTAATTTATTTGTATATATTTCATACAGCGGGGAGGGAATGTCCTGTCTCAGATGTTGCCCCCATCCCAACATTCTTCCCTGCTAACTCCTGGATGCTCTGATTTAGGCCGCTGGCAACGGCGGTGCTCCGATATGAAACACCCTGGACGGGCAAGCCAGCAGCCATCTCATGAGGCAGGGAGAGGGTCAGGAAAGAGGGATGATGAGTAGGGGTTTGGTTAAAAAGATAGAGACCAAAGATAAAGTAACCAAACTAGAATTCATGGGATTAAAGAGCATGTATCCCTGCTCCCTGTGGCTTGTTTAAGCCAGTTTATCCTTACTCTCTTTCTGTTTAAACCAAACCCTTCAAACACAGGTTAATTTTTTAGGAAAATGTTACCGGGCATGGGAGGAAACACAACTCCCCTCTCCAAATCAACATGGACTCCTCCACTCACCTCCCCTACTTGGGAAATGATTTAAGCAGGACCATGTGTGTGTGTGGATGTAGAATAATATGTCACTTAGAGGGCCAAGAGGGCCAAAAGAGCAGCGTACCTGCTTCTTATTAGGGCAACTGGAGGAGCCTTGAGGCCTTTGCTCTGTTGTGGAGGAGGTGGGATATGATACATTTAGAGGTAGCAGGTTCACTTAAAGTTACTTTCTTAAGTGATAAAGCCAGTCTCAATTTATTATTAACGGTTTACTGAGCACTTTGATGATGGACAGGTAAATCCAGCCAGCGTTGGGGGGGGGGGGGTTGGTGGTATCGAGTCTGTTTTGAAACCAGTTGAAACTCTTTGCCCCACAGCTCTTTTCCGTCCTTTGCTGGCCAAGGAATATTCCCCCAAATTTGATTATCTGGTCGCTAATAAAGACCAGGTCAAGAGCAAACGCATTTCTCAAACTGCAAATCTATTCTGAGGTTGAAAAGAGCCGAGCTCACACAGACCTTTCTCTTGTGTTATCTTTGTCGGCATATCTCTCTCGAACATAAGTCCTTATCTTGTGCCATGGGTTTTTGGAGCAGTGTCAAAAAGGAATTTTAGAATAAGTGGAGCCGTGGATCTGAGACAAATTGCTTAATTCTTCCTTTCTGGTGCTATCTCTGTCTGGGAGCCTTTTGATGTCAGCGACAGGGGGATTTCCTGTGTGTGTGTGTGTGTGTGTGTGTGTGTGTATGTGTGTGTCTGAGTGTGTATGTTTGTCTCAGTGTCTGTGCTGATTCATATTATACACACCCCTGCGTTTGTATGCTAAAAATTAGAGATATTTTCTGTATTATGAAGCCTTGTCAGAAACTAAAAATACAACAGACACAACATGTCTTCCACATGTGATCCCCCACTCCTCTTGTCTTATTCATAAAAATATACATCCTTTATTTGCTGGCTAGGGTTAGCGTTTGGGCCAATCACTGTTACTTAAAAATTTCCACACAGCTTGTTTTTCATAATTCCACTGACGATGTCGACATGAGCAAACAAATGAAGGTTTTACTGTATTCTCAACCATCCTACAGAACTAACTTTCAATTCTCTCTCCTTCATTCCTCCTTCCTTTCTTTCCAATCAGGTGATGGGTCTGCTGAACCCGGGCGGTGTGCCACATCAGCCCCAAAGCGACTACGCCATCTCCCCTTTGACGGGCGGCCTCGAGCCCCCTGCTGGCATGGCGGCCAGCTGTAGCCAGCGCATGGACCACATCAAGGGCCTGGAGGGTCTCACCAGTGTTCCCTCCATGTCAGCTCTGCCCTCCCTGCCCAGCTCCCAGTCCTACTGCACCCCCTCCTACAGCTCACCGGGCTACACCGTCGACCACGTGGCATCCTACCAGTACGGCCAGTACGGACAAAGTAAGGTCAATAGACTTCACCTTTTTATTCTCACCTTTTGCCTCCACAGCCACATCTGCATGAACAATGTCAAACAAATATCATATGTAATAATATAATGTTTGATTACACATTCACTCAAAAGCTTTACACAACAGTTTACAAAAAATAAAAAAAACTATTAAATAAAGACATTTTGTTATTTAAAAATAAATATCTATATTCTTAATCGTTAAGCCACCGACAGCAAGGACTCAACTGCCTGACATCTGACAATTTTCACCATACAGTGATGGAAGAATTATTCAGGTCCTCAGTAGTAAGTAAACGAAACAATAACAAACCATAAAAATACCAGATTACAAATAAAAGTCTTGCACCAAAATGTACTTAAAGTATCCAAACTAAAAGTATTCATTATGAAGAATGCTCCTGTCTATGATCACATTATTGGATTTTTGTTATTGTTGCTTAAATAACATGTAAGCAGGATGTTAGACAGGGACTACGAATGGAAATGAGCTTCTGGCTATATCTGCTGCAATAAATTTATTATGCATGGTCCCAATGAAATAAATAAATAATGTATCTGGTTGAGGTCTGCAAATTTGAACTACTTTCTGGTAGTTTAACCTATAACAACGTGTCACATTTATAAGCTCATTATATGTTTTGTGTTTAAAATCGTCAAAGTAACTGCAAGCTGTCAGATACACATAGTGGAGTAAAAAGTTCAATATTTCCCTCCAAAATGTAGTGGAGTAAAAGTATGAAGCAGCACAAAATAGAAATACTCAAGTACATTAAACTTGTAATTAAGTACTTTAGGACATTGCTTGACATTAAATTGCATTTTCACTAGGTCTCATTTGTTGTTCTGCACAGTTCTCCTGTGTTAGAAACCTAAATGGGAACAGAGCAAGGAGTGGAAACACACTGACAGTTTGATTTACAGGCAGTTATATAGAGTTGGTCATTACAGAACAATGTTGTTGAATAGCTTCATTCAGTGATATCTGTCAACATTTACCAAACTATTTTTGAGAATATGTTTGTCTCAGGGCTTATGGATCATGTGATCACCAAACAACAAACCCATAGGACTGACATTAAACAATTTGATGACCTTTCCAGCTTCCTAGTGCAAACCGCTGACTGGGTTTTATTGTGGCCTCTCACTTATTTTCAGTGACAGAATTAAGATGAAAACATCTGAACAACATCAGCCGATACAGTGTGTGATTGAGGTAGTCCAGTGTTTTAAGACACACAACTTGTAACCACAACTTCCTTGCTTTGATTCCAGGGATAGTAGTCGACACACAGGTCGCGGCCGTGCTGCTTGTTAAAGACATTTTTCCGGGTCCAGTCATGCAGTCTCAAGTGTTGGGGTTAATTGCGCAGACCTGATTCCATCTATGAAGCGATCAGCCCGGCACTGATACTGAAATCTGTGGTTAGGTGCACTGTAGAGTCCGCTCCAGTAGTGTGTGATAGCCCTCCTCAGAGAATACCTACCTGTCCAGCAGTCAGAGGGTCTTTTCACTTCACATTACCGTTACTTTAAGGGTTAAAATCAACTTCAAACAACTCTCCATCGAAACTTTGGAAGGCAACGTCGTTTTCCGTCACAGCGTGATTACAGCGGCCGCCGTTTCCAATTTTGGGTCCACAGGGGGGGTTGACCAATCAGGTTCATCCACTGACCTTGTGGCAACCTCGAGGCAACCGGGCCCTTCAAAGAGCAGCGTGGCAACAGTCCAACGAGGCTGACTGCATGTAGGCGGCAGGTATCAAATGAATATCCGACTTAATATCCGAGAGCGGCAAATGTCTAATGAAATATCTCGGTCAAATATCTCAAAGTGAACAGAATAAAGAATTAGGGCGACACACATGAAAAACCTCCAGCATGTGGCACGGTGCGTGTGTACACACACACACACACAACACACACACACACAAGCTGAAAGGCAGCCACCGGGACAGCACACGCACTCACATAGGCTACACCTCCACAGCATTTGGAGCCCGAGCAGTCCATCTTGATGTGATTAATCAGTGCGACTGGATAGCCGGTGTGCGGTTGGGTTTGGAGCTGCGGAGGAAAGGTCCTTTCTGGGGGTGGACGGATCCTAATAGCCTCTGGCAGGGCGGCTATTGGAAACAGGTGCTAGGACTGAGGTCAGCTGGGGAAGCAGTGTTGAATGTAGAGCCGCTCCAGGTTCCAGTGTAAGAGACTGGTCCACCCTGCCGCACATTTTGACAACATGTAGCTCTCGCTGGACTCCCTCACGGAAACTAACGTGGTAGTCCATGAAATGCTTGCTTGTTTTTATTTAGGTAATGTCTCTGTTGCTAGGCAGGCGGTGCACTGGTGTTTTCGCTCAGCGCTTCACGGAGCTCACCTGTCAGTCAGCGAGCCCAGTACTGCAGCCTTTCTGTTCGGATCTTATGTTGATGAGGTCTCTTTACCTGCTCTGACATGGATTTAAAAACAAACAAACAAACTATTGTTTATTGTTCTGTCCAGGCTCACTCTTTAACAGCTCAAAATCATGAATTATCATCAACTCATTGCTTACAAGCTTGACTTTAAAGTGATGACATGTTTCAGGCCGCTACAGAAAGTGGCGCGTACACATTACTTCTGTTTTGGGTCTCCAGACTCCAGCTGTAAAACATAGTTAAATACAATTAGTACTTTCTACACAGCACTACTCTTCCCTGCGCATTTAAATGGCTCTTGTCGGAGTTTATAGGAGGCCTCAATACGTAACTAAGAGAAACAACTATGTAGGATAGCATGCTTTACATTTATTGTGATTGTAAACAACAAACGAATGAAAGAAAATACATATTTGTACATATAGCATATAAAACAGGTGTAACAATTCTTTACGGTTATTTCCATATTTTGTCACCTTCATCAAATGTGCAAGATCAGTTTGTGGCAAAGGAAAGACTTACCACTTCAATACTTTTCTACCTGTTGACTTTTAATATGATCAGAAGTAAAAGAAAACAAATATTATAGCTCACTAATTAAAGGAAAAATGCATTTATTATTCTTATTATTTTTACACATACAGCAGTGGGATCTGGGACACAAAACATCGAGTTCATGGGCTTTCGTGTCAACACAAGGGTTAATCAGTGCATTGACATTTTTTGTAATTTTGTAACATTTAAAAAAAATAAAAATAAAATATATATATATATATATATATATATATATATATATATATATATATATATTATGGGTAATTTATAGGCTGATTGCTAGTTGTGCTACATTAAGGCCAATGAATAAATACAATACAAATTATTCTGAATTTCTTCACCAGAAAAGTCAACAATGAACTGAATACACAAAGTTTGACAAATCCACATAAAACATTTGGTGTCTGGTCAAAATATTGTGGGCAACTTTAACATTATGCTGCATGTACAGTAATGATGCATATATCCTACACGACACCCCAGATATAACCTAAGAGCCTTCCAGTGTGCACTTTTACTGTCATTGCACATTTTGGGCTTTTTTTTTTTTTTTTGCTGTGAGTGTGTGAAATCCTGTCTTTATTTGAGGCATCTTCACACTTCTGTTCTCACATCCCTCTCCATTGACCTTACACCCTGAAACCACTGTTAGCACATGCTATGCTAACAATAGCCATATGTTAGTGGAATGGCACGTTCATGGCACACACATGCCCAAAATTTATTGCGGTCATATATCTCTTTTAGCATCTTTTCAACTTATTTTTTTCCAAATCCTTTTTCACTGGTAGTAATTTAACAACGGTTTCATCCCTTTATTTTTTTTTACAGGTGCCCTTCCTTATTTGAGGCCTGAAATCACCTGATCGTGAGCTCCGGTCTTCACAGAGGGACATTTGTGTGTACAGCGATGGAAATCTTTAAATATCCGGACCAAAATGTTGTCACCATTTACCAGGACACATTCTCTACTGCAGGACATTATATTATTGATTCTGGGTGGAGAAATGGACAAAAAAAAGAAGGGACCACAAGAAGGAATATCAGACCAAAAACTGTTGATTGACTGTGAACATTGCTGCATCAGTATTGCAGATGACCGGCAGAGATGTCAGCGCTTAATGTGGTTAGCTCGGTGGAGTTCTGACCATCTGCAGTGCCATGAAGAGGCACAAACACCATTCTCTGACTTGCCTTTGGAGTCTTTGTGAGGACAGCAAACCCAAATCTACCATCACAGACTACCAGCCTTTGAGCCGACGCTTGAAGGAGCATGTTTACATATCTTAGGGCCACATGAGTGCATATGTAATTCCATGTATGTCCAAATTAATCCCCAAATTGTATCCACTGAAAGGGGAAAAGAAAAGGGCTTTGTTGATTTTATTGCATTTATTTGAGATCTCTGCATCCCACACATGGAGAGAAATTCCAGAGGCAGAGAAAACAAACGTGAGCAAACGAATCTGTGGGTCTTATTGTATCAGAAACCCTAATGTACACCACAGCTGTACTGCAGAGAAAGTTCATTCAAACATTCCTCCTCCCCCTCTTGTCTCTCCCTCTCACCCCTTTTGCCTTTCTGTCTTACTCCTTCTGTCTCATTGATGTTTCAGACGGTGAGGCAGGGATCCTGGCCTTTTGTAGTTTTAGAGAGGAACTCGGAGGAGGTCACGGGGCGACTTTAGGGAAAGTGACAGATGAGAGAGCAGTAGAGGAGGGCGGCGGAGAAGTGGCTTTAAGGGGGTGGTTGGGGGGAGGGGGATAAGCAAGATCGATCACAGGGTTAAAAAAAACCCTTTAAAGATCTTCTCCCGGCGAGAAAAAGCCACCAGGTCACAAGTCACGACCGAGAGACACTTGAGAGACCAAGAGAGTTTAGACTAAAGACAGCCATTCTCCCAGCTGACCAGAAGTGCAATATCATGTATCTTAGAGTCAAGCTCGCCATTAAAACAATAAAAAAAACATGCCTCTTAGAGTCTTACGAAACACTTTGGATTCATACTCTGGATCTAGTTTGGGACTTTGCAAAGGAACAACACATGTGCCTGTGAAGGCTTTTGGGTCCAAAACAAATTGAAACATTGTTAATATTGCTGTAACAGGACACTGAGGGGACCACATGTTGTAAGGACTTAAGTCAGTGTAGCGTCATAAGGACAAGAATGAATCAAGGGAATGCCAATATAAACAAAATGACCAGGAATGACAAAGCCAAAACTGTATTTTATTTTATTTTATTTTTTTGTGTTGCTTGGGACCTTTTTTTTTTTTGTTTCCATTTTGCATACACAGGAAATATCGATTAGGTTTCTAACACATTCCGGACATATTTATTGTCACAACTGTGCTGTATGTCAACATCGTCATTGTAGAACTTCCCACAATGTATAAGTGAGTGACATTACTTTATCCACCAAACTGCGGCTCAGAATAACAGAGCGTTCAGAAGCACTCTTGTTTTGTACATCCATGTTAGAATGAACCAGTCCTTTCATTCCTTTGATATATTTTTTGTATTATTGGACAAAGCGATATGACATAATGTCATGTGTACAAGCGCATTATCACTACTATTTATAATAAAATATAAATTCTGAAAATAGCTGCTGTTTTATCCATTCTTTATTCAGCTGATGGTAATTACTAAATGGAGTCTTTGTATTTATTTTTGCCACAACTTGAGAAAAAGAAAGCAAGCGATTGTGATTCACTCTATAGAAGAATACGATTGCACTCGGAGACAAATGTGTACTTTTGAAGGCGCTCATGTGAACCCTCCAACCAAAATAGGCCCGGCCAAATGGGGATCACCAGACATTAGATTGGACACTGAACACAACAGGCTTTCTCACGGATGGCTGTAAATGCTCAGACATCTGCATTGGTGTGTATTAATACCCCCGCTGGCCCCCGCTACTGCAACAAACTGACTTTTGTTTAACAACCTCTCGGATAAAGAGAACAAGCCTTAAAGCGTTTTAGACAAACAGCACGCCCAGCCCCTCTAAAAACCTCTGCAACCCATCCACCCTGCTTACATACACAGGGCCCACTCTGTGTGTGTGTGTGTATGTGTGTGTGTGTGTGTGTGTGCCACATGCATTCATACATTATGTTCATGTTCACATTTAGTGTTGTTTCTGTGTGTGTGTGTTCATGCAGCCTGAGGGTATTAAGCCTAATTATAACATTCTTCTGATTAATCGTGTCTGCTCGCAGGCCTCGGAGGGGTGGCGCTGTGTGCAGCTCGTGCAGCGGGACCACACACTCTATAAATAAAGTCTAAGTCAATAACAACGTTAAGGATCACTCATAGTCTTGTCAGCTCTGTTTGCTAAGCCTGAATAATTCAACCAATGAGAGGACACTGAGACACACATGCCAACAAACACATGCACACACACTCTGGAAAAGTACAAGCAGTTGTGCTTTAATCACCTGCGGATACACACTTTGGCGTACAGATGTGCACCAACTGCATGTAGGCTACATTTGGGCACACACACACACACCCACACACACACACACACACACACACACACACACACACACACACACACACACACTGTTTGCTTTCTTAATCAGTCCATAGCATTAAAGATGAAGACAAATCACACCTGCAAAATTCCAAAGCTAAGACATTACTGTTATTAATGAAGCCTCCCCTGAACTGAAAAGGCTATTATTTCTTTAATACACCCCAGAGTGTAGTTAAATGGAACTATTTTAATGGTATTTCATACTGCCTGATAATGACAGATTTTTGGATTAGGCCAACAGGTCTTTTTACTCCACACATACAGCTATATTCAAAATAAATCCAAATTAAATAAGCAATTTTTTCCCCTTAAAATAGTGAGTTTTTTCCATTTCAAAATGGAAACCCCCCCTTAACGTTTCAGAAACACAAATTTAAGTCACTGCCGTTGGTCATATAGCTTTACAAATGCATTAAATGATCCTTGTTTTTTTCTTACATTCTTTTGTTTTATGGCAGTACACAAAATAGTCCCTCACTGCCTGCTGGCTCAGGGTTCACACCTGTGCAGAGTTGGACTGTTGGTTCTGGGCTGCAGCGCAATTATTTATCAAGGTGTTAATTATTTTTATGTTCTGCATAGTGTGAGTTTATGCTTTTAAAGACTCTCCCGCTGAGACAAATATGCTCCTGCTGCGCTCGTTTTAGACTTCTGAAGTAAAACTTTTCTAATGTAAAAGCCCATTAAGCACACACACACACACACACACACACACACACACACACACACACACACACACACACACACACACACTAACTTACTCTTTGTCACTCTCGGACAAACACACACATTGAGGGAAACACTCATAGCCTTGTATAACCATGTGATCCAGTAACTCACATCTTTGACAACCCCCTGGGTTAAAGAATTTGTTTTTTTCCTCAGTGTTGTGATCTAACATGACCTCTAGATCATGCCAGCAGCTGCTTCTGTCATTCTCACTATGTTAAATGTGAATGTGTGTGTGTGAACCCGGTCTGATTGTCTGCGTGTCTGCCATGTGTGCTGTGGCTCTTTGTTTGAGTGGCCACAATAAATAACTTAAAAATAATTACGTAGTGGAGGATAAAGCCATTGGCACATTGACGCAGTGGTCAATACGAGAGGTTTTAGTTGATGACCAGCTGGCTGCTATTTGCATGTTCTCCCTGTGTGTGTGTGTGTGTGTGTGTGTGTGTGTGTGTGTGCCCCAGATGTTCCGGTTTCTTTCTACGGTCGAAAGACATGCATGGTACAGTAGGTAAAATGGAAATTACATCTAGATGTGAATGTGTTTGTTTAGTTCTGAAGAGAATGAGCAGTTCAAAAATGGATGAATGGATGTACAAACCTTTGAAAAGACCCATTCTCTATGATGTAAATGAGCTTTTATTAAATTTGCTGAGGCAAAAAATGTGACTTAGCCTAACTCATGGCCTACTTGTATCTAGTCCAGCCAGAGATGTCTGACAAATATCTAAACACTGAATACTGCTGTGAGGTTGAGAAACACTAATGTTTATTTTTTTAGAAATTATATTTCCCTCTCTTAAAGTGACATACCTCAGTTAAAAGTAAGTGTGAAAACACTCCCAGTCCACACAATACTATATTTTGTTTGCAAAAAACCCCCAAAAAACACTGCAATATTAAAATGCAGACTTTACAGTTCAACAGTAAAACAGAGCCCATCAATTCAATTACTGGCACACATACGAAACTACAAAACTATGAGCAAGCAACAACCCATGTACAGATTTGTACAGAAGATCTCCTCCAGATATTTATTAAGACATATATACAAATAGTCTGCTTGGAACAGTAATGTGTGTCTGACATGTTTTCCCCTAAAAGAAGTTCCACATTAAAATTCTTAAAAATGCATCAAGTCCTTCTACCTCATTAGAAATGCCATAATCTATGAATATGCACATTTTGTTAAAATTTTAAAGTTTTCCTGCTGGACAGATGATGTTTCCTTAACATTTCACTTATAAACTGTATAAACCGCCTTCCAAACTATTTGTGATGTCACAAATCATGCTTGTAAACCCCGCCCCTTAAAATCAGATTTTCAGTGAGCTCAGAGAAACTTTCCACTACCAGCAGATGAATGTGTAAACATCCTTCTCTTGTTAAACTCTGCACAGACATCATTCTTCACGGTGAAGATCAAACATCACACTGTAGGAACAAGGAACAAGAAGAAAAACATATTTTTGGGTGGAAGGGGACTTTAATTTCAGTGTTTGCAGTCTTCATTATTATTAATATATAATGCCCCGCCAGTGACACTCCTCAAAGCATCTGATTACTCCTGTTTGTTCTGCACAGGAGGTAACCAGGTGGAAGGAAGTGTTTTAGGGGTGTCTCCTACTACATACCCCAGCCTGCCATACAACCCCTGTACACACACTTAACCCCTGACACTCCCCAGCGCTCACACACTCTGTCATCACAGGTCCTGGCTGCTGCTGACCTGAGCACTAACACATGCTGGGGACAACTTAACCCCTGGACCTCCAGACGGAAAAACACATCGACAAAGGAGAGGAAGGGCATCTGAGCAGGAGAAGGGGGGGCAGGGGGGTGACAGCGGCAGACAGAGAAAGATGAGGGATCAGTGTGTGTGTGTTTATGAGACTGGCACACAGCCAACAGATAAGACACAACTGTAAATTGATACATTTCCACATTATTAGACTCATTTGTGAAAGTCTATTCAATATACATACAAACTTTACATCTCAGCTTACATTGCTTCCTTTAAGTTGACTGTCTCTAGGGCTTCAGAGACCCTTTCTGAACCTACAAGAGGAAACTAAAGATACACTGTATGTGAATCACAAACAACACTGTTTTACTCAGGTGACACTAGGTGACATTTAGGCAGTACAAGGTTTTCATTCAACAGTAGCAATATGTTTGATGTGTATTCCCCTCTTTTGAGTGTACATTTTCAAACTTTCTTTTTTTTCTTTCTATCTTAGAATTCCAGTGTATTTACTGCTTTGCTGCTGCATTTCCCCTGTGGCAATCAATAAAGCTTCATCATGATATATTTTTATGAGCAAGACACAAAGAGAAATATTGTTGCGTGAGTGTGAGAAAAATCGTTTATCGGACTCATCTTTGCTTCGCTCACTGTGAGAAATAGAACCTCTTCCCTTTTATTGGGGCCGTTAGTGCTAAGAATGTATGGATGTATTCATTATCACTTCTCCACTGTCCATCCATATACTGAGTACAGTGTGTTCCAACACTCTGTGGTTCAACCTGCATTAGCTGTTTTTTTGGCCACTTGGGGGCAGCAGAAACAAGCTAGAAGCAGGTTTGTTAGCAAACATCTGCTTATTCAACACATCTAGCAGATAGGGGGCAATGCTATAATTCATTAGGAGTCATGTTTCTGGAGACCTGGTGAAAGTAATTCCAATATTCACTATATTTTACCAATGTTTTTTTTGACTCTAAAAACTCCTAAAGGAAATATCTGGCTCTTTTCGACATTAATGAAAACGGCATTAATAAGAGACCGGTAAGAGTGAAAACAGTTACTTTACAGGCGGTTAAACATGGTGAACTCCATGGAAGGCGAGCTGTGGCGTCTGTAGATAAAAAACAGCCCATTGGAGCTAACAAAAACACAATGATTCCTATAGCCAGGTCATTATATATTAATGAAAACATAGTTAAGCATATTATATTCCATTTCTGCCAATAGAGCCACCTTAATGTTACACACTGGACTTTTAAATACACTTATTATCTTTCCTGCACAGGGTTACTGTAGATGAAAAGATCGATATCAGTCTTGTGTCTTTCTGTTACATAGTGCACTATATGAAGCTACAGCCAGTAGACTGTTTTAGCATAAAGACTGGAAACAGGGTGAAACCAAGCCCCCAGGAAAAACACTTGATTCAGAAGCCAATTTGACAATGTGGCTAAACTGTCAAATTACAACAACAGAATCTGTCAGTTGATGTACATTGTCAAAGAAGCTGCTGTAGAACAGTGGATACATTTTTTGAACGTCACAAACCCTGCGAAATGGTTGGTTTCACTATCAGAATTTGATCCA